GCGTCCGCAGAATCGGATATATACCGCAGAAGCGGTCCAGGCGGTTAAGTGAAGCACCACAGGAGCGGAATAATTCCGCAGAAGCGAAAACCGCAAATGCGGTAATTGGATCGCAGAAGCGAAAATAAGGTCTGGGCAGAAGGGTTTAAAAATTAATATTTCATCCGCGAGCTAAGGTATTTTTCCTCCATTTTTGAGCAACCTTGAGAGTTTTTGGGCGAGAATTGAAGGGGATTTCGACTGGGATTGATTGGAGGTGAGTTCTATGGCCTAAATACATGATTTAATGGAAGAATTAACCTAGAAATTTATGGAAATTCATCAAAAAGGGAGAAAAGTTAGGGCTTGGTTTTTGGTATTTTAAAGTGGGTTTTGATGGGTCATTTGAACTCGGATTTGGGAGTTCTTGGTATGTATAGACTCGTGGCGAGATAAGGAATCCAATGATGTTAAATTTTCTAATTTTCGAGAAGTGAGCCCGGGGCTCGGGTTTTGCAAATTTCGTGATTTTGATGTTTTTCGATTCTTTTCGATTGGGTTATGTTCCCTTAGCCTCTTGTAACGTATTCGTTGTGGTTTTGATCAGATTCGACGCGCGAAGAGGTCGATTCGCGAGGCAAGGGCATAGCGAGCTAGGATTTTGGCCGACTTGAGGTGAGTAATGATAGTAAATGATATCCTGAGGGTTTGAAACCCCGAATTTGCACAACGTAGTGCTGTATTGAGGTGAAACACGCGCTTAATGGCAAGCGCGGGGTTGTTTACTACTGGGGATTGTGACTTGGTCCATCCCGATTAATATTTTTACCGCGTATTTGACCGAAATGTATTTGTTACCAACATGATTTGGGCCTATTGCCATATTTTGGGCTTCATGCCGACTACTTGAATCCTGCGTGGATTTTTATCACTGTTTCCTCACTATTTTGATATACTACTTGAACTCAGTCTTGTTGATTATACTGTTTTACAAACTCAGCTGCTTTAATTGAACTTTGAGACTTAAATGATATTTCCACTGTTGTTTGGGCTGAGCACTACTATTTTATTGATGCTTGAGGGGCTTATGATGTTTTCTGGACTGAGTGAGGCCGAGGGCCATATGTGAGGAGGCTTTCAGGCCTCGAGTGTGATGTGAGGAGGCTTTCGGGCGTCGAGTGTGATGTGAGGAGGCTTTCAGGCCTTATGTGTGATGTGAGAAGGCTTTCAGGCCTTATGNTTCTGCTTCTTTATGCTTCATTATAAGAGTCTTGTGTGAACGAGTTGTTTTGGATTGGCTTTAGAAGGAAATGAGACACTTAGTCTCTTTAAGGAAGGTTTGGTTTGAAAAAGTCAATCGGATGTTGACTTATGAGTTAGAGGGCTCGGATGTGATTTCCGGTGATTCGGTTAGCTTCGGGGATGATTTGTGACTTAGGAGCGTGATCGGAAGTAATTTTGGAGGTCCGGTGTAGAATTAGGCTTGAATTGGCGAAGTTAGTATTTTGGCGAATTCCGGTTGGTAGGTGAGATTTTGATCCGAGGGTCAAAATGGGATTCCGAGAGTTGTTGTAGCTTTGTTAGGCGATTTGGGATGTGCGCGCAAAATTTCAGGTCATTCGGAGGTGTTTTGGTCGGGTTTTTGATCGAATGCGTATTTCGGAAGTTTTGGAAGAACTTAGGCTTGAATCCGATGTAATTTGATGGTTTTGGTGTTGTTTGTGGTGTTTTATGGTTGGAACAAGTTTGAATGATGTTTTAGGATGGGTTGGCACTTTTGGTTAAGGTCCCGGGGGCCTCGGGGTGATTTCGGATGGTCATCGGGATGAATTTGGACTTGTAGCACTGCTGATAGTTGCTGGTATCTGGTATTTCCGCATCTGCGAAAAAGGGGCCGCAGATGCGGTTCCGCAGATGCGAAGATAGGAACGCATGTGCGGATTTTGGGCCATTGGTGGACTTCCGCAGAAGCGGATGGTGGTCCGCATATGCGGCGTCCGCAGAAGCGGATATAGACCGCAGAAGCGGTAATTGGATCGCAGAAGCGAAAATAAGATCTGGGCAAAAGGGTTTAAAAATCAATATTTCATCCGCGAGCTAAGGTATTTTTCCACCATTTTTGAGCAACCTTGAGAGCTTTTGGACGGAAATTGAAGGGGATTTCGACTGGGTGTGATTGGAGGTGAGTTCTATGGCCTAAATACATGATTTAATGGAAGAATTAACCTAGAAATTTATGGAAATTCATCAAAAAGGGAGAAAAGCTAGGGCTTGGTTTTTGGTATTTTAAAGTGGGTTTTGATGGGTCATTTGAACTCGGATTTGGGAGTTCTTGGTATGTATAGACTCGTGGCGAGATAAGGATCATGATGTAATTTCTAATTTCGAGAGTGAGCCCGGGCTCGGGTTTTGCAAATTTCGTGATTTTGATGTTTTTCGATTCTTTTCGATTGGGTTATGTTCCCTTAGCCTCTTGTAACGTATTCGTTGTGGTTTTGATCAGATTCGACGCGCGAAGAGGTCGATTCGCGAGGCAAGGGCATAGCGAGCTAGGATTTTGGCCGACTTGAGGTGAGTAATGATAGTAAATGATATCCTGAGGGTTTGAAACCCCGAATTTGCACAACGTAGTGCTGTATTGAGGTGAAACACGCGCTTAATGGCAAGCGCGGGGTTGTTTACTACTGGGGATTGTGACTTGGTCCATCCCGATTAATATTTTTACCGCGTATTTGACCGAAATGTATTTGTTACCAACATGATTTGGGCCTATTGCCATATTTTGGGCTTCATGCCGACTACTTGAATCCTGCGTGGATTTTTATCACTGTTTCCTCACTATTTTGATATACTACTTGAACTCAGTCTTGTTGATTATACTGTTTTACAAACTCAGCTGCTTTAATTGAACTTTGAGACTTAAATGATATTTCCACTGTTGTTTGGGCTGAGCACTACTATTTTATTGATGCTTGAGGGGCTTATGATGTTTTCTGGACTGAGTGAGGCCGAGGGCCATATGTGAGGAGGCTTTCAGGCCTCGAGTGTGATGTGAGGAGGCTTTCGGGCGTCGAGTGTGATGTGAGGAGGCTTTCAGGCCTTATGTGTGATGTGAGAAGGCTTTCAGGCCTTATGTTGATAAAGCGCTTGGGCCGTAAGGGGCCCCTCCGGAGTCTGCACACCCACAGTGAGCGCGGGTACCCATATGATCTGAGAGTGAGCCCGAGGGGCTGATATTATGCTGAGTGACTGATACTGAGCCCGAGGGGCTGATACTGTTCTGAGCGATTGATACTGGGCCCGAGGGGCAGATTTCTACTCATTATTTACTTGTTGTTTTATCTGATTTACCTGTTCGTTTAAAAGGAGATTTCATTTGACTTTTAAATGTTTTACTGCTTTAAATGATTAACTGCTTGATATAGAATTGCCTTGTGCACTTATGAGTTTTCATGCCTTCGGTTATTATTTATTATTATTACTCACTGGGTCGGAGTACTCACATTACTCCCTGCACCATGTGTGCAGATTCAGGCATAGCAGAGTCCGCTCCTGAGCACTGATATTCTTCACAGACCAGGCAGCGAGTTGGAGCTTCGAGGTAGCTGTTGAAGTCCGCAGCCCCTTGACTCCCTATTTTATGTTATTTCAGTTCCTTCGGACTATTGTATCAGATATTGTATTTCTTAGGCTTATAGCAACTCTGTAGTAGCTCATGACTTGTGACACCCCGGTTTGGACTGTGTCGGGATGGTTTCTTTTGTTATTATCGTTGTTCCGTATTATTGACTATATTAAGCATGTGTTAGAATTGTTAGTGTTAATTAATTGCTTAAAAGAGGTGTTTGCGTTGTTCTGGCTGGCCTTGTCTTCACGAGAGGCGCCATCACGGCCGGGTTTGGGAATTGGGTCGTGACAGAATCATATGGGGTAATTAAGGACGATAGCAATAGATCAATGTTTATGTCCCCGCTGCCGAATGAATTTCAGTTTTGTTCTAACTTTTTATGCCAATTACCTGTATTAAGAATTGAAAGTTCTCATTAGATCAGTTTAATAGTTAGTTTATGCACTTACAACATTTATTTATTGTTTCTCGAAAAATTCTCCTTCCGTCTCATTGTATCTGTCATAATTTTCTTGTACACGCCCTTTAAGAAAAATTAATTAGGATGTATTTTTGATTACTTTACCCTTATTCATGTCTTAATATTTAATCTTTTTTCATCGGTATTTGAATAAAGTTAGGTGTTTGTAATCTTTCTAAAGGTAAAAAAGAAAAAAGATAATCAATTTTGTCTTGAACTTATAAAGTTATAAATAATTTGAGATAACTATTTTTAATAACATAATATGAGACGAATAGAGTATAATATTATCTTGCTTGTTCGGTGAACACGTGATATTAACTTGAGATAATGATAATTTGTCTTGGAAATAAAAGTTAGATAATCGATGCAATTTGGTTTAGATTGCTAGCAGCAAAATTACTACTTTCGTATCTGCAAATATATTACACCACTCAAGAGAATTACAAATTATTACTCCAATCCTCTCATTTTAGTATCACTATTTTTATTTTGAGTACACTGTAAAAAGAATGATTATTTATATATAAAAATAATTTTAATCTTCAACGTCTTAATTTACTCTTAATGATATACTTTTATAGTTATAAAATTATTATGGTCTATCTAAAATCATAAGTTATAAAAAAGTATCACATAGTCCAAGTAGGAGATTAGATTAATTTTAATATACAATCAATAAAAGAAAAATCAAATTTAAGTCAAAAAAATAAGCTTCCTTTTTTGTATAATGTGTATGATATTTACTTTCAGGAAGAATAAATCTAATCACATGTGCCAAAAAGTAAGTTGGAGCTGACACTTCTGAGAGCATGTCACTTTGACGTGACATCACCAGCTATTAACCTTTTTAGGCTTTGAACGAAGGCTCATCTATCTGTTGAATTTATGAAGGTGTACAAGCATATTTACTGTAACAAAAGTGCAAAAGCAAGGGCAAAATGAGACTTGCAAAAAGGATTGCAAGTCCTTCCATTACCAGTAGTACAAGGACGCGATGGGAATAGAGGAAGTAGTCCTTTTTAACTACTTTATATTGGAGAAATTCTTTTACATGGTGATTTTCACCAAACTCATCTTAAATTATTGAAACGAGTAATTTTTATAGTTCAGATGATCGTTGGCTTTTAGCTCTGAGCGGAGTGACATTAACTTGATGGCTTTTATGAATATTCTGACAATGGATTTTCAGCGGAAAATGTGGTTTGCCTATTTTGCTTTAATGACTGATGTACACTGTTTGCAGGTTTCTGGAATTAACATCTGATTACTCTGTCTAACTACTCTGGCTTTACGAGGTAAGCTAATAGAAGGCATCAGTTCCCAACCAAATTATTCAATTTTGCCTTTCACTCGATATCTTTTTGGAGAAAGGGTGTAGTTTATTTTTTTAATACTGCTTACATTAGATGAGATAGATGTCGGGGGATAAAAAAGATGTGCCTATATCACGTTCAGGACAAAGGAACAAAAGTCCATTCTTGGCAGACAGAAGTGCTGAAATGAATTTCAATCGCCGTAAAAAATATAAGGAAATCTCAGCGGATAGAAGGGAAGCATTATTGTTAAACTGCCGTACGAAAGAACTCGATTCAAGAAAACGTCTTCTAGAAAGTCGTACTCTGGATGACTCAGTCAAATCAACATCTCTAAGTAATTCAACGCTTCAAAGGGAGAGTGCTCTCATAATAAGAGATTTTTCTCTTACTTCAAATCAAGGTTAGCAAATTAAACTTTTGCTCTTTCTGTTTAAATGCAGTCGGTTTAAACTAAATATGTTTCACGCGTCTTTATTAGCTGCTAAATGTGAAGTTAGTACTTTACCTGCTGCTTTTGCGAAAGGAAAAAGTTTAGTTGGTCATTTTTCCATCTTCGAAACAGGCGAGTATATGAAGCATATTATTTTAATAAAATCTCTATTGTCGTAAACCATTTACTTATGTAATTCATAATTGCGTTTATATTAGGATCCACATCAGGTACATCTAATGACCGATGTGGTGTTAGTTCAGAGAATATAGCAAATAGAGGTTTGTATCACTCTCAAGTTATAATAGTATTCGTTATCTTCCTTTGGAGTGAAAATTGACTCCTAATTGTTTCCGTAATATTCAAGAGTTAGACTACGTAGAAGAGCCCCTCTACACGTTATTGGTTCACAAACCGAATATGTTGCTCTCAAAGTTGTCCCAAACTGTAAATTTTGTGCTGCAAAAAGATTTCAATATGAACCCCCTGGATTCTGTTGCAATAAAGATTCAATCAAGCTTACTTCACATGAAATGCCTATAGAGCTACGAGAATTATTTTTGGGTACTACTAAAGAGTCCGACCATTTCTGAACATATGTTAGGACATACAATAACATGTTTGCATTTACTTCGCTCGGGGTAAAATATGACAAAGACTTAGCTAAGAGAAATCATGGTATCTATACATTTAGAGTTCAAGGAAAATGTATCACTGTATAGATGATTCATATCCTGCGAACGAGAAAGCAAGAAATTTACAGTTGTACTTCTACGACAATGAAAATGAGGTAGCAAACAAAATTGCTTGTTCAACTAGAGTACATAAGTCAATGATCAGAAAATTGATGAATATACTACAAAATAATCCGTATAGTTTTTTCTTGAAATCTTTGGCAGATGTTCCAGAATTATCGAACTTTTATATTGCGCTCAAATGTGACTCAGGTTTAGATCAATGAGTATATAACTTACCTACTGCATCTGAAGTTGCAGCAATAATAGTGGAAGAAGGCATTCATATTTCCACACCTCACATTCGAATTTATACTCACAACAATAAAAACCAATTAGTGAACTATTACTATGGATGTTATGATCCCTTGCAATACCCACTATTATTTCCATATGGTCAAGATGGGTGGCACTGTGGTATAAAGAAAATAGTACAACCAAAGAATACTACTAGATATCGTGTCTATTGTGAACAGGAAAATTTACCAAGTGTTGCAAACATGTGTTCAATTGACAATTTTCTTGATATGGAAGCTCAGGTACTAGAACAACAAAGGAAAAAAAAAAATATTGTCTCTTGTCGTGAATATTATTGTTATAAAATTCAAATAAGAGATGATGAAACTGATGAAATCTTACATACTGGAAGGATATTCCAACAATATGTCGTAGATGAATTCATAAAACTTGAAACACAACGACTAGACTTCTTCTCTTTCAATCCAGACTTGTTTAGAATTGAAGTTTTGCAAGGTATTCTTGATGTCTTAAGACAAGGTGAAAGAGATGCTTCTAGAATTGGAAAACAAACTTCCCTTCCTGTTACATTTACGGAGGGACCAAGAGATATACGCCGGCGATATATGGATGCTATCGCTTTGGTACAACGTTTTGGAGCACCTGACTTGTTTCTAACGATGACATGCAACCCATTATGGCCAGAAATAAAAGAACATTTGTTATCTACCGATGAGGCACAAAATAGACCTCACTTAATTAGTCGAGTATTTAGAGCAAAACTGGAAGAGCTAAAAAATGATATATTAAAAAGAAATATATTTGGAATGGTAGCTGCTTTTATGTACACTGTAGAATTCCAGAAACGTGGTCTTCCACATGCACATTTCCTTATTATTCTTGCTAATGAATACAAATTGTTGACACCTGAGTCTTACGACAGAGTTGTTTGTGCTGAATTACCTGATCCTGATAAAGAGCCTTACTTATACTCACTTGTTGTACATCATATGATGCATGGTCCTTGTGGTCATTTGAATCCTGCAAATTCATGCATGGAAAATGGATATTGTAAATTCAGCTACCCTAAAGATTTTGCTGATCGAAGATCAAAAGGAAAAAAAACTCTTATCCAATTTACAAAAGACGATATACAGGTGAAGCAATAAAAATTAGAGAATAATTCCTCGATAATTCATGGGTGGTACCATATAATCCTTTTTTACTTGGCAAGTTTAACTGTCATATGAATATCGAGATATGCTCAGATATTAAAGTTGTCAAGTATCTTTACAAGTGCATATGTAAAGGGCACGACAAAATTTCTTTTTCTGTACATGACAATGATAAAGACAAAGAGATTGATGAAATAAAAGAATATCAGTCTGCTAGATGGGTATCTCCACCCGAAGCTACATGGCGTTTATTTGGTTTTTCTATTAGTGAGATGACACCAAGTGTTTATCATCTTCAATTACACCTTGAAGGACAACAATATGTTTCTTTTAAAAGCACTGAGAGTATAAATGCAATTTTAAAAAATCCTATGACTAGAAAAACAATGTTGACAGAATTTTTTGTCATGAACCAAACAGATGATTATGCTATAGAACTTAAGCTACTATATAAAGAGTTTCCAGAATACTTTGTCTGGTCAGTTACAGACAAGATGTGGACACGTCGAAAACAACGTACCATTATTGGACGCGTTGTGACATGTCATCCAACAGAAGGTGAGAGATATTATCTCAGACTATTATTACTGAATGTGAGAGGACCAACATCATATGAAGATCTTCGTACTGTAAATGGAAGATGTTATATTACATTTAGAGAGGCTGCTGAAAAAAGAGGATTATTACATTCTGACAACAGTTTGGTTGATTGTATGATTGAAGCTGCAAGCTATCAATTGTCATATAATTTAAGACGATTATTTGCTACGCTATTGGTATATTGTACTCCTACTAATCCAAAAAAGTTATGGGAACAATTTGAAGACTCAATGTCCGGAGACTTCAAACGCTTGCCAAATAATGGATTTAAAGATATTCATCATAGAGTCCTGAACTAGATCAATGATGAATTACACTCGATGGGACACGACATTAACGAGTACAAGCTTGTTGCAGAAAACATTAGAGCTTCTACAATTGCAAAAGAGGCAAAAGAAGTTCATTTTGAGAGAAGCCTAAGAGTATCCGAAGAAGATTTGTTATTAGAAAAAAAACTAAATATAGATCAACGAAGAGCATACAATACGATTGTTGATAGAATATTTTCCAACAAATCGGGAGCTTTTTTTATTGACGGGCTAGGAGGAACTGGTAAAAATTTCTTATATCGAAGTTTGTTGGCTACGGTAAGATCTAAGGGATTTGTAGCACTAGCAACTGCAACTTCTGGTGTTGCAGCTTCTATTCTTCCTGGAGGGCGAACAACTCATTCGCGCTTTAAGATCCCTATTGATATTGATGAAAATATTGGTTACAATATCAGTAAGCAAAGTTCACTTGCATGTTTAATATGAGACGCAAAATTAATTGTATGGGATGAGGCATCAATGCCTAAAGGGAAAACGATTGAAGCTTTTGATTTACTTTTGAAGGATCTAATGGATACTAAGATGCGCTTTGGTGGAAAAGTAGTTGTTTTTGGAGGTAATTTTAGACAAACTCTTCCAGTTGTTCGAAATGGGAAAAAAGAAGACTTCATTTCTGAAAGTTTACTATACTCTAAAATTTGGAATCAACTAGAAAAACTGCAGCTTTCAGAGAATATGCGTGCAAGAACAAATCCTAGCTTTTGTGAATACTTGATAAGAATTGAAAATGGAAAAGAAAAACTTGACGCCCAGCAAAAAGTTCAAATTCCTAACTCTTTGATCATTCCTTTACAACTGAAGAAGAATCCTTGAACGAGTTATTTGAGGTAACATATCCCAATAAAGATTCCTTATTTGACGATTCTTCCTCCATAGCTTCTCGTGTGATCTTGACAACAAAAAATGATTTTGTTCATGAAATAAATGATATGCTCATATCTAGATTCCCAAAAGATGCTAGAACATATGTTGCAATTGATGAAACTGTTGAACCGAATGACCAAAGTCAATTCAAAGATTATTTGCATACTTTAAATCCTGCTGGTTTGCCTCCTTACAGATTGACTTTAAAAGAAAATTGTCCAGTAATGTTACTACGAAATTTAAGTCCCTGTGAAGGTTTATGTAACGGCACATGGTTAACATGTTGTAGTTTAAAAACACATGTTATAAGTGCCAAAATTGCTAACGGTGATTTTCAAAATAGGCATGTTTTTATTCCAAGAATACCACTATTAGCATCACAAGATGAAAAAATTCCAATTGCTTTTAAAAGAACACAATTTCCAGTACGATTGTGCTTTGCTATGACTATAAATAAAGCTCAAGGTCAAACTTTGGATTTTGTTGGAATTTATTTACGTGAACTAGTTTTTACCCACGGTCAACTTTATGTTTCAGAAGGTGCGAAACTATTAATTCGACCGCTGACATCAGACACCGAGGATGATCACTCAACGTATAACATAGTTTATGATGAAGTTATTCAAAAAGCGTTCAATTAACTGATGCCAGGTAATAATTTTTATGCTTCACATGCCGCAAAAATAATTATGATGTTCACTCTATACAACTCTGTTAAATTCTAAAGTCATTTGTACCTATTTGGCACTTTCTGTTTTAATAATTGTTACTGTTGACGGTTTAGGTGTATTATTTGATGGAAAACATGTGATATTTGCAGCAAAAATACTCAAGTAAGAATTCTAAGGGGCAACAGCTGAAAGAGTAATAATTTTGGTCATTTCGCTGATATTCTCAGTAGAGAGCTACTTGGTTCTTTTAAAAGAAATTAAAGGTTTGATTCTTTGTCAGTAAAGAATATAGGTTTTTAACTTGATTTGGTGAAATAAGAAAGTTTGTGAAAAAAATGAATAAAGTTTTCTCTAATGTCTAGAGTTAACATTTAGCATTGCCCTGCTATTATCTGCTTTAGCACTCTTATTACTTGTAGCGGGATTTTCTTATTTATGTTTCTTCTGATGTATTGCTCCAATGCCATCCGCACCACTGTTCATTTTTTCTATGTTTTACCCCTCCTTTCAGTACCTAAACAATTTAATCTTCCCGCACAACCAATATTTTGGAAAACGTTAAGCGCAAAAAAGCGACGAGACCTCGCTTCACCGAAGCGAGAAGCGCGAAGCGAAGCGCGCACTTTTTTCATGTGAAGCGCAATTTAACACATAAATAAAAAAAATAAATTAGGCATAGATAAATGGCTAAAAACCTCACTAAAAATAACATTAAACAAATGTTTCAATTCTTGAATCAAGAAGCAAATAATAGGTACTAAAACTAGATAGTGAATAATCCTCAAAAGTCATAACAGAACAGAACAATTAATTTTTATTTCGAACCAGAAAAGTCTGAACAGAAAAATAGAGAAATACAAACCAGAAAAACAGAGCATAGATTAGGGCACAAAAACAGAGCAATAAAAAGTGGAAAAAAAATAGAAAGAAGAAGAGAATACAGAGCATAGAAAGAACAGAGCAGAAATTAGGGCACAACCGCACAAGAACAGAGCAATAAAAAGTGAAAAAAAATAGAAAAAAGAAGAGAAAAGGAGTCAAACAGGAACTGAAGAAGAAGAAGAAGAAGAAGAAGAAGAAGAAGAAGAAGAAGAAGAAGAAGAAGAAGAAGAAGAAGAAACTTACAGAGAAGAAGCACTGAAGCAGTCGTTGAAGCAGCGGTCGTTGGAGCAGCAGTTGCTTGGAGAAGAAGTGTTTGTTTGCGTTAAGTTTTTGCCAAGTTTTTTTTTTTAAAAATCCTAACAGATGCTTAACCTCGCTTAAGCGCGCTTTTTTGCGCTTTTTGGATCGTTGCGCTTCTCGCTTAATAGGGTAAAGCGTGCGCTTTTTTCATGTGAGTCTTGGCAGAAAAGCGAACTAGCCTCGCCTCGCGTCACTTCAGCGCACGCTTTTTACAACATTGTGCACAACAAATCATGTTTTATATAAAATTTTGACTGATATTGTCACACCTCCTTTTTCGCTACTACACCCCGTGAAGGGTATAATAAAGGAGTTTTTCCAATTAAAGGACAATCGAAACGGGATTCGTTTATTAAGAGATTCAGAGTCGCCACTTGGGAGATTTATGGTGTCCCAAGTCACCGGTTTGAATCCCGAATCGAGGAAAGGGTTTGACTCTGTATTACAGTCGCGAACCAGAATCCGAGTAAGGAATTCTGTTAACCCGGGAGAAGGGGTTAGGCATTCCCGAGTTCCGTGGTTCTAGCACGGTCGCTCAACTACTATATTTGGCTAAAATCTGATTTTAATACATGTTTTAACTTATGTGCTGTCACGACCCAATTCCCAACCCGGTCGTGATGGCGCCTCTCGTGAAGACAAGGCCAGCCAACAGAACAACAACGCCTCTTTCAAAAATTTTTAAACATAAATGATTAGATAAATACAACTTAATGACAATAACAATCGATATATATACGACCCAACACAGCCCGACCGGGGTGTCACAAGTCACGAGCATCTAAGGAAGTCTGAACACGACCACAGGGTCAATAATATACAGAATAAAGTTTAGAATCAAAAGACGAAGTCCGGTGCCGCGAACGCCGGCGGTCACCTTGCTCAGCCACGATAGCAAATCCTCAACCAGCTCAAACCCGCTACCGGGTAACCAATACCTGCATCTGCACGCGAGGTGCAGGGAGTAAAGTGAGTACTCCAACTCAGTGAGTAATAAAGGTAAATAATAACTGAGCAGCAAGAAATTACGAAAGACACTCCATCATGCTATATAGAACAGTGCTACCCTTTGAGAAAACAGTAAAACCGTGAAATCCTTTAGAAAATCTATCTAGGCTCAGTTAAAACCTCTTTTGAAAATGTCTTTTTCAACAGTTAAGCAAATGAATGCAAAACAGATAGTGCAAGTCAGCACATAAGTCAGCCCCTCGGGCACAGCACTCCATCAACAAATAACACCAGGGTATCAGGTAAGCAATGCAAGAAGTAGCATAGAAGCCAATGAAATGCGAGTGCTGAATGTCATGACACGTAATACAAACAGGAACCAATGCATGAGTGCAATGCAATGCATATGACCGCTGCGGCGTGCAGCCCGAGCCATCCATATTTAACATCGACGGCGCTCACTGGGGCTGTGTACAGACTCCGGAGGGGCTCCTACAGCCCAAGCGCAATATCAAGCCATCTCGTGGCATCAACCAGGCCCTCGGCCTCAAAGTCAATGTAACACCGCTGCGGCGTGCAACCCAAGCCATCCATAGTCCAGAAATGCATATGTAACACTGCTGCGGCGCGTAGCCCGATCCATGCTCAGTCCAGAATGCACATAAGCCACTTGGGCAATACAACATGGTAGTTCTCAGCTCAAAACGTCAATAAAATATTGTTTTAGTTTTCAAATCTTAGAAAAACGGTTGAGTTTGCAAAAGAGTATTAAAACCTTGGACCGAGATCAAATAATATGCAAAGTAATGCGAAAACAGTGATATCAATCCCTAAAGGATTCACATAGTTGGCACGAAGCCCAAACATGGCAATCAACCCAAATTATGATGATAACAAGTAGTTTCAGTCAAATACGTAGTAATTTCATCAATCGGGACGGACCAAGTCACAATCCCCAACGGTGCTCTACCCCACGCTCGCTATCCGGCGTGCAAGTCACCTCAATACAGCACTATGATGTGCAAATCCGGGGTTTCAAACCCTCAGGATATCATTTACAATCATTACTCACCTTGAACCGGTGAAATCTCTAGCTCGCGACGCCTTTGCCCCTCAAATCGGCCTCCACGCGCGTCGAATCCCGTTGTTCTCTCCAAAAATCACCCAAAAAATCGCCTTATCCGAGCTCCAAATCGTCAAAAATGGCAAATGGGACGAAGTTTGGACTTTATTCTGCTGCCCAGGGATTTGTTCTTCGCGTTCGCGGTCCTCCTCTCGCGTTCGCGAAGAACAAAGTTCCAAAAATTCATTTTCCAAACTCTGCTCGGACAGCCTCTAGTGTAATGGTCATAACTTTTTACAAACAACTCCAAATGACTATTATAATATGTTTCTGGAAACTAGATTCAAAGAGCTACAACTTTCATTTTTGAATCATCTCCAAATTCATTGTAGATTGAGAGATACGAGCCTCCAAAGTAAGACCTGTGCAACAGAATTGCCTCTTCTTCGCGAACGCGAAGAACAAAACCCCAGAAGCCAAATCCTTCTTCGCGAACGCGAGTGGACCCTCGCGAACGCGAAGAACAATACCAGATACCAGCTTCAGCCATTGCAAAACAGCCCGAAATGATCCGAAACCACCCCGAAACACACCCGAGGCACTCGGGACCTCAACCAAACACGCCAACATATCCCATAACATTATTCAAACTTGTTCCAACCTTCGGAATGCTCAAAACAACATTAAAACACCAAATT